TCTTATCGAATTTTCTTTGAAATCGGTTTCCTACTTTCTTCGACGTACAACCTATTTAACCGAATGGTATTTGATTTTCTGAAAGGCCAATCACAAATAAAATTTAATAGAGGATTGTAGGACAAGAATTTTATCTAATCCGATAAATGTATTTATCGTGCAGGCAAGTTTCAAATCAAAAAGTCTTTCTTAATCAGAATTGTTCTTGCAAAATTTTCTTGTATAACCAGCAATTATAAAATTAAAATAATTTAGGAATATATATATAATATTAAATTCTTTTATAAACAAACTCAACATAAATTATAAAAATCGTTTTACATATGACAGAAGAGACATTTCATAATTTTTTCATATTTGATAAATATTATTCAAAGTGACCTGAGTTTACCTGTTCTGTTTGATGTAGTTATTAATGCTTGAATAAGGACAAATATACAAACAAGTAATGTCAACGTATTCGTTATTCAATATTCAAAATTCTCTATATTAAAAAATTAATAAACGTGATTATTTTCTTACTTAAGATTTTTCTATCTTTATATATATATATAAATAGAATGTTTTGGTTGTTGTATTGCAATAATAATATTATAAATCATCGTCAAATACTTTCTAACAATTAGATGTATAATTGATTTAATTCTTTTTGAATTAATATAAAAAAAATAAAAAAACAAAAAGTGACAAATCTTGGCATTAAAATATGAGATATGAATAATAAAATAATTAGAATTACAGAATATAAATGTAGAAAATGGGTAAAAATTTTCTTAAACACAATTGATATTATTTCTATTAATAAATTCTTATTTTCAATTATATCGTAAATATTTATTAATTCAGTACCGCGGAAATATTCAATAAGAATGATTTATAAATGAAGAATGCGATCAGATACGATATAGGTCACATTATATACGCGAATTAATTTAATTTCAAAATCTCTTCTAAAATACTGCAAATATTACACGCGCGGCGTATTATTGTATGCAAGTATTTTTATCGTGATTATATTTCATACATCTGTAATAATCGCACATATCTGATACGAGAAAACAGCACAATAATCAAGTAACAAACTCACCAAGATACGTCCAGTGGTGGTCTGTCCAGAAATCAGTTCGCCGGCCCAGTCCTTGGCCTCGGTCATAAAAGTCCCCTCGAACTCCTTGCCCTGGCGGGCCGTCTTTGCCTCCTTCTGCTTCGGGTCATTTGGAGATAGCTCGGGCTCCTTGCGACAGCAGAGGAAGGCGAACGCACGCCAGAGGAGCACGATCAGCAGCCCGGCAAGGAAGGTGAAGATGCTCGACAGCAGGAAGCACCACCATTTCCGCTCCTTGAGACAGTCGTCCGGGGGCTGCTCGGTCGTCCCTTCGGTCGTCATCCCGGCGGATCTCTGCTGCCCCCGGGTCACACATTCACCGGCGGCTATCACAATCAGCGGCAGCTGCGACGGCCAGTAGGGCGCACTTTATGCGCTTCATAATTTCGCGCCGCCTTCGGGGATGCGCGACGCGCCACAAGAACCCCGTCAACGGCCCGCTTCCGCGTCCTCGCGATGCCGCCAACCACGAGATTTTGTCAGCGCGCGTTAACTGGAGAATCACCGAGATCTCTTTTTCTATCTCTTTTCCTCCTCTCCTATCACGCACACCCGCTGGCGCCCCAAAATTGCTTTCGTCTCTCTCCCTCTACTCCCTCTCACGCGTACTCTCACCCTCTCTCTCTCTCTCTCTCTTTCTCTCTCTCACACACACGCGCGCACAGACACACTCGCACTCTTCTTTTTTATATCTCTTTTTTAATACACACACTCTCTCTTTCTGTCCCTCTTACCCTCGTTTCTTCGATCCTCCTATATACGTCTCTATCTACTTGCTCCGAAAATGCTTCTTCCCTCGCTCGTAAACGCCTTCTATCAGAGACCACTCGATCACTGTCGTCCTGGCGACGCACTGTCCGATCGAGGATTCGCTATTCTGCACTAATCTACTCCAATACGAACGTGTATCGATGTTTTCGTTGGATACGCAAGCACCACCGATCCAAATTCGGTGTCCTTGTCCTTGGCGAACGCGCTCCGCTTCGTTTTCTCGTAGCCAAGCGTAAGAACAACCGCGATTCCGTCACGTTTCGTCCTGGTGGCGAGAAATTGCACCGCGATTTGTTCGCACCACGTTCGGCGGCAGCTGCTGCCGCCGCCGCCGCTGATGTCTCGCAAGTATCGGTCTCAGTCCCGAGAAAGAGAATCTGGAGCAACAGAAAACAAGAGGAAAAACAATCCACTGACACCACTACCGCGTGTTACACTACGCGCGCTTTAAATACATAAGTACGCGACAGATACTTCCGTTCTCTCCGCGCTTTTATATTCTCTCGTATATATTTATATATGTATACACATATATATATTTTAATTTCTCTCTATTTATAATATATAAGTATTATGCATGTACGGTGTGAATGTAAACGCGGTTCGCGATCGCGTACGCGACGAAACGCGAGCGAGAACGCGCGACGACGACGCGGACGACGACTATTCCTCTCTATCTGCGATCCGCGCGCGCCTGCTCCTCTTAACCTAATCGGCTGAGCACCACCGACGGCGACGACGACGACGACGACGACGAGGACGACCGAGTGTCCCGACGACCATACCACTGCTCCGCGGCAATCAATACGCAACAATGGACCGGGACCAATAAGCTCGGAGCTTTTCCTGACGTAGACGCACGCTCCCTCGTTTCAGTCTACCCCTACCATTCGGCACGCGGTCAAATTAGTACGGGCGCAAAACGCGAGGCGACGCTGCGTTCGCGATCGCGGGCCGCGGCTGCGCCAAAACCGACATAACTACTTCGGAATGATATGCAGGGGTTGTTGCGTCAAATGCAAGACGAGATTTACAAGCGACGAAAGCGCTCGCGATTATATTCAACTCTCTCTCTAGACTTTGTTATAAATATAATTTTGAAAAGAATTCTAACAAGTTCCATTCCTGGGGTTTTTAGAAATTATTATCGTTCGAAAACGAGGATTATTTCCGAGCAATTTTTATCTATCTATGTACATTATGTTTTATATGCTTATTACAAAAATAAACCTTTGATTAATTTACGGAAGAATATAGAAATAACAAGAATATAATTTACAGTGTAATAAATTTTCTATTTTTAAATTTGTCTATTTTGCATAATTTGTGATAAATAATAAAGATTGTTATTTTAAACAAATATTATTCTAAAATGAAGCACTCTTTTCATTGAGTTGCCATTTCAAACTTTTCCGTATATCTCCGATTTTACTTTTCCATTATCATAGTATCTACTAATGTATTTATGTCAATATGTCATATACATACCACAGTATATAAAATTTACCTTATATTCTATATGAGATTTCTCTTCGTAGTATGTTACGGTAAAAAGTGAACTTGCTCCTTTCATGTTCCTTGAGAATTTAACGTTGACGAAGACAACGGATATTTGAATAGAATTTGTGTCAGTAGCGTCATCTATTACATGTTAAAATATCACTTAATGAAATGTCGATAAAAACGCCAACACTGTATTATCATAAATTGAAATAAAATTAATACCGCGCAACGTTATAAAAATTATTAAATTATTTTTAAGTTAGCCTTTATCACAGATTTCTATTAAGCTTGTGTTAACAATAAATAATAGATATAAAAAAAGGTACAAATATTATTTCCTAAAGATCTTAATATAAATAAGATTTATAGAAGATGTAATAGAGAGAGAGAGAGAGAGAGAGAGATTTTATTATCTAAAAACACGAAATTATTGCTAATATATTTTTATTAATTTTTAAACTTAATAAATTTTACAACTATATAACTTGAATTTAGTCAACAATATTTTACTATAGGATTGTTTATACATCACCTAAAATTTTTGATGACATATGTTTAAGGGTATATCGTTGACTGTCGTGCTAAAGATCCTAGATCCTACATCCGTGATTCGTGTGTTGTAATGCTAAAATACTTCTGATCTAACATATTTGTGACACTTATCATCAGTCGAAAGCGCAGCATAAAAATGGCACTGGCCTATACGAGGTATGCTATAAAATTTGATTGTCTTAAAGAATTATTAGTTTATTAATTATTTGGTGTAAACAAAGACGATTTTCTGCTCTTTCTAGATTTCTTTGCCGGCGTAATGTCGATTTTCGACATTTTCGGAGCTTATATACGTGCAGGTAAGATCTTGCAAAATACATAACCTTATTTTTACATAACTGTCACATACTGAGAATGAAAGATTTTTATCATTATTATGTTACGTCAATTTTTCTTGTTTTGTCTCTTTCACATCCGCGAAAATAATTATAATTACGAGTTGTGTATATTAACTATATAGCGCTGTTAATATACATAACTTCAATAAGAAATCTTACATTTAGAAATTGTTTTTCCATAAATTACAATTAAAAAATATTACGTTTTAGTCCTCTGAGCGTTGCAGTTCCGAATCCTTCACGTACAACAGGCACAGCTTGTGAATCTCACGATGAGAAGAATATGCGTCTAAAAAGACCAATGTCGCCACACTTGACAATCTATGAACTTCAATTGACATCATTGCTTTCATTAACGCATAGAACTACTGGCATTATGCTAGCCAGTTATGCAATGTTCCTCGGTTTAGGTAAAATATATGAAGATACTTAACATACATTTCTCTTTAGTTTAAATTATCAAGCTGCAAATAAACATTAAAGTACAAGTTATGAATATTTCTGCTCCAAAATAGATTTCTCAATTTTCTCATTTCTCCTTAGAAAACAAACTAATATATGTAACACAAACAATATCTAAATGGACTACTTTTATATTCCAGGCACATTATTTATACCTGGTGGTATTCCTTGCTTCATAGAAACAGTGGATAATTTATGTTTACCCTTACCTGTACTGTTTGCCGGCAAAACCTTACTTGCTCTGCCTGCTACTTACCATACATTCAATGGAATACGTCATTTGGTATGAGATTATTATATATTTGTAAATGAATAAGATGCAAACTCTATAACTCTATAAATTAATATAGCCAATTCATAATTTATCATTGCCCACCAAAAGAAATTGACGCTATAATTTCACAAATATTGTTTCGCAATTTTAATTGTAAGCTAATTATATCATGTATATTTTTATAAATTTACAGGCTTGGGATTTTGGAATATTTCTAACAATTAAGGAAGTATATAGCACTGGATATGTAGTATCTGCATTAACAGTTATTTCTGCACTTGCACTTGCAGCAATGTAAGTGTCATTCTTTACATTAGAAATAATTTTTCTTTAAAATTAAATGTATTGGCAGACTACATATTAAATTATATTGTCTGTATTACTGAGTTATATATTATCTACATAATAAAATAAATTATTAAAACTAATATGTATTTCATATATAAAAAATTTAGCTTTTTTTAATATTCTATGCCAATTTAGAACTGAATAAGTATTATAGTTATAGTCTCAAAATGTTTATGTTTGTAAATAAAATTATATACATGCTAGCTCTGAAATAAACACAGAAATGGTTCAAAAAAAAAGAAAAAGAACATGTGAATGTTTTTAGAATGATTATAAAATTAGAAATAAGGATCAAGATTCTTTGTATTTAAAATATAGAAATTGTTACAAATCTATATCATTTTTACTTCAGATTGAAATTTACAATATTCAAATAATTAGCAAAAAATATTAAAGTTTGTTACCGTTTTATTGAAGGTATAAAATATATTAAAGAAGTAAAATAGAAATTTCATGTAAAGCTTTCCAAAGATGATTCAATATATCTTTTGTAAATCGTCATATACCGTGCAGCAAATGCTTCTAAATGAAAAATCGGTTTTGAACCACGTATCATTCTATGCTGATATTCTGATGCAATACCGATAATTTCTCTTTTTAAATGATCATCACAATTTTTTATACATTCTTGCAGCAATCCTCTGAATATCAGATCGCACGGTATAGCACGCGTTAACAGCTCGTAAAATCTATTGCGTACCTCTTGAAGTACTTTAGGAGTTTGTTCAGAGACCATCATACTAGCTGTATTTCGTATATATACTTGATAATCTGGTTCTGTTATTTTTTGATCAGCAGTAAATGGACATCTGGAAACAAAACAATTTTCAGATGAAAAAGATAGTAAAAATATATTGATAATTTAAAACTTGGCACAAAATTTTTACATGCATTTTCACATATATTTATATGGATGATGTACTCACTGTTCGACTTTGCAAGCCTCAAGCATTAATATTGCCCGTCTAAGACTTCTATCACTAGCTTCAATCACTCGATTAGCAAGTTCATCAGGCAAATTAAGTCCTTCACGTTTACAAATCGAATGTAAAATACTTTTGATTTCGGAGGCAGTTGGAGCGGGAACTCTGATTCGCACGCATCGTGATCGAATCGCAGGTAAAACTCGTGACGTTGAGTTTGCACAAAGAATCAATCTGCACGTACTGATATATTTTTCCATTGTTCTACGAAGTGCATGCTGCGCATCTCTTGTAAGTTGATCCACATTTGATAAAAATACCACTATTTATAATAATATATAATTTTAATCTTCGTATAATAAAATTTTTATTTTTATTATATAATTATATACTGGGTGTAACTAAACAAACACATATGGACAATACTATCAGATACAGAACAACAATCCAAATTGAAAAGTCCTGAACCATTTTTTGATCTGAGCTTTCTTTTCGTTGTTATATGATGTTAAAGTTAACTAATCAGCGCCTGTCTACAACGGAAAACAGAGAAGGTACGACGGGTGTCGGAGTAACGAAACGGCTTTCTGCTGTATAGACAGGCGCTGATTAGCTAACTTTAACATCACATAACAACGAAAAGAAAACTCAGATCAAAAAATGGTTTAGGACTTTTCGATTTGAATTGTTGTTCTGTATCTGATAGTGTTGTCCATATGCGTTTGTTTAGTTACACCCTGTATATTGCGACACTTGTAATATATCACAATAAAAAATGTTTTAATGCTATTTTTTCAAACCTTTGAACTCCTTTTGAGCTATATCTATGTGATGTGTTTGTGCAGTCGCTTTTATTAATTCCATAACAACAATTCTGTCATGTATTCCTGCATTACTCGGATCTACTTCTGTATGGTAATTACTACTTATAGTCAATATTTCTAACTTCTTTTTAGATGCAGTCTATAAGAATATCATATATAATATTATTTGGATATGGTATTATTAATTTATATTCTTTTATGTATTTTAAAGTATATTCATAACTCTAAAAATGTATTTTAACTCTAAAAATATACTAGCAGTAAAAGTCTAAGCTTTAAAGTCCAATTAGCTTTGCATTAAGATAAGAAAATAAAATGTGTCAAACCTCAAATTGCATGTTTTCTATTTTTAATCTCTCAACTGCACTCCCATAAAGTTCTCTTAAAATACATAATATCCGAGTTTTCTTTCCTGCACCAGGAGGTCCATGCACTAATAAATGTGGGAAGTCTCGTTTTTGTACCTATGTTTTAAATAGAAATAGTAATTTAAACACTGCTTATATTCTAGCTAATTTGATATAATCATGTAATACAATTTTATACTCTTAAAATTTCTTAAAAAGAGAATTGTGACTATCAAAAATTTTATTTTAAAAATAATCTTTACAAAATTATAGTTTTTTAATCGAATTTTTTTTTATATAATCTATATTATAATAGATTATATCATAATAGTAATCAAAATATGAATCTAAAAGCTAATCTAATATTATATGTACGCTTATTTTAATTCGATACTTTAACGACTCATTATGCTAAAAAGAATTATATTAAAAATTATCTCATTTCGAAAAAAGGTTCGTATTGTATCTTTATGGAAAGCGCGCTTTTAAAGCTGGTTAACCTCATTCTTGAGAGATGTATCAAAGTATATCACGCATCACAATATTATAAATTACCATATTTTTTAAGTCCTCCGCTTGTTCGAGATGATAATCTAGCTTTGCAAGTGTCGTTGGACGATACTTGTCAACCCATAAACTCATTTTTTCGTAATTTGAATACCTTTTATGTAGTATCGAAATCTTACTCCAAAACTATATTGTACCGGTACCGGGCCTGTCGCTCTCCTCTCTGTGGTTGTACACAAACAAAAATATTATATATACGATAGCATGAATAATGGCATTTACAAAAACAATTTTATTTCCTGTAGTCTACTAACACTTAAATACAGAGCTAATATTTGTAATATATTATTTAACTTTGTCTCTACTATTCTATAATATGCTAGATTTTGACATAACCAAATAAACTTTAAATAACATGGGAAAAATGGAATTGGCGGGAACGTTACCTACATGTCCAATTATTATAATTACCTAATTAATAGATCTTTATGGAAAGCGCGCTTTTAAAGCTGGTTAACCTCATTCTTGAGAGATGTATCAAAGTATAATATTATAATTACCATATTTTTTAAGTCCTCCGCTTGTTCGAGATGATAATCTAGCTTTGCAAGTGTCGTTGGACGATACTTGTCAACCCATAAACTCATTTTTTCGTAATTTGAATACCTTTTATGTAGTATCGAAATCTTACTCCAAAACTATATTGTACCGGTACCGGGCCTGTCGCTCTCCTCTCTGTGGTTGTACACAAACAAAAATATTATATATACGATAGCATGAATAATGGCATTTACAAAAACAATTTTATTTCCTGTAGTCTACTAACACTTAAATACAGAGCTAATATTTGTAATATATTATTTAACTTTGTCTCTACTATTCTATAATATGCTAGATTTTGACATAACCAAATAAACTTTAAATAACATGGGAAAAATGGAATTGGCGGGAACGTTACCTACATGTCCAATTATTATAATTACCTAATTAATAGATCCAATGATTCCAGGAATATTGGAAAGCACTGCATTACTGTCGATTTAAAAGTCCAAAGCTATATTTTTCTTAATTTAATATTGTATAACATGTCATTTATTTTTTTTTTTCAATGTCATCCTTTTTTTAGACATTTGTCTAATATACTTAACTAATATAAATATTACATAAATCGTTCATGTAATCATTCATGTTTAAGATATTATAATTATTTATAATATATTGATATATTTAAAATACAAATTGTACATTTTATCTTTTATGATAAAACTATACAATAAATGTGTCCTTAATAAAAATATCGTAAACATACACATACTTGAGATTTATGTATAAAATATTATATACTTGTGACATATGTCATTGACGCTACAGTAAAACCATAAAACTGCAAAATTACCGAGTTTTTCATCCAAATTTATTTTTGTAATTATATATACATATATATTCGTATTTTGTTTCATGTTTTTATCTTAAGTTTTAAAGATCTGAGATAAACAATATTCTTTTTTTTAAATTTAAAACAATCTTTTTCTCAGCTATGACATAATCAAGTAAAGTTCAAAAATTTTCAAAAATTAAATTTGGAGATACCCTGATTTTGAAATTTTGCTGTTTTACTATAACATCGACAATATATAAAAATTATTAAAAATATCTCATGGAATAATTAACTATTGAACATAGATCGACGCGTCATTATTAAATATATTGCTGTTTAATATAATTAATCTTATAGTACAAAACCATAATTAAATCTATTATGGCAAAATATTTAATATTATAGAGATTTTAAAATAGTTATTTGTTTAACAAATATAATTGTAATATAATATATTTCGTAATTTTAATATATCTCGTAATTTCAATATTTGAAATATTAGTTTCCTACATACATAAATTGGAATTATTGTCTAAACATTTAGAACATTTTCTTTATCATTAAAAGACAAAATTTGTTAAATGCATATAATATTCGAAATAAAAATTTCTTTTCTCTAATAATTTATCAAGCAAATATATATGATGGCATGTAGAATATACTGTGTTCTCAAAAATATATGAGTGGTTTATGTAACTATTTGATTAACAATCTCACAAATATCTTGTGAATAATTGAGACAATACACATATATTATGGTACAAGTACAAAATAAGAACTTATTAATGACACATAATAATACATATATAATCATAATATTAATTAATCTTATTGCAATAAATGCATGAAAATATAAAGACATTACTTTAAGTACTTACTGAAACAATATTAATATAGAAATATTTTGATATATATATTCTTTGATATACGTCTCACATAAGACAACACATTGTCAGGTATACTATTTTCTTTATTTACACCCACACACCGTGTGGGTTTTTGCTTGTGGGCACTGCGGTTTCCAATTGTCTTGGTGATCCTATCATTTTACGGGTACTTCCAGGCTTATGGGAACCTAACAATTAAGTAAGTGTATTTATTAGACATTACATGAAATTTTTTTTAATATATGTGCAAAATATATATAGATAAATACCTTCCAATAACGGTTTGACTTGTTCATCTGAACATGCAACAGCTAAACTTTGCAAATTCGCCTCTTTCATGTCAGCTACCAATCTCTCTACTTGCAATTTTTTTTCAACAATGGCTGCCTCCAAGTTAACTACTTCTATTTTTAAAGAATCTGCATGTTGTGAGGCTAACTCAGTTGCACGTTTAGCCTGTTCTACTTCATTTTGTAAATGTTCCACTTCGCTAATTATTTTCCGTTCCATAATTTGCCGCTCATCTGTTTCACGATTTATATTATGTTGCTCCATTGCAAGTTCTTCCATAACTAGCCTATAATTGTATGGTTCTTATTTCAATAATGTTTTATATCACAATATCAATAAAATATCTTTGCATTAGTATTAGAATGCATTGATGACATATATATAAATAACAATTTTTGTAATTCTATCAAATAAGTAACTTGCATTTACCTAATTTTATTTTTACATTGAAGCAATTCTGTTTCGCAATTGGCGAGTTTTGATCTAAGCAATGTTATTTCCGATTTCAATGTTTTTTCTTGCTGTCTAACTATTTCGCTTTCTTCTTCTACATGAGTTAGTTCTTTAAGCTAATGAAAACAAACATGAATTAATAAATCATAACTAATTTTAATATCATAATGTATGATAATTAAACGCGCAAAGAAAGTAAAAATTATTATACCTGTTCTTCGATAATACGACCAGTGGATTCAATGCGAGTCATTTCTTGGGAAATATAATCCATTTGATGCATTTGTTCCCTGTTCTTTGTTTCCCAATATAATATCTCTGCATCAAACTAAAATGAATGAATAATTTATTGTTCATCTATTTAAATAAATTAATCGAATCAAGCATGAAAGCAAATAATTATTATTGAAAAAAGAAAAGAATTTGATTATATTAATTATAAGGAGATATAATATCTTACTTTTGTGAGATCAGCTTGTTGAGCGTTAATAGTGTCTCGCTGCTTATTGACTAGTCTTAAGAGTTCAACATATCGTTGAGTATAAGCAACAGTTGCTATATTTTGTGCTGTCGCAGGGAGTGGATTAACAGATTGTGTGGGTACTTTTGTATCTTGGAATTCCTACAAAAATTATATATTACAAATCTGTAATCTTATATATATTATTCCATCAAATATAATCATAGTAAAGACAAAACCTGAATAAGATTTCTTTTTAATTTTATGGAATTACTAGAGGATGGCTGATCGTCTTTGTGCACATGAGAACTTCCACTATGCACAAATTGCGATCTTCCAGGACTGTTTAAATTCGGTGGTGGTGGATCGCGATAAGGTGGTAAAGTTCGTAATGGCGGCGAAGCTGGACCTGGAGGCTCTCTGTAAGGGGGAACCTCGCGTATCTTTTTTTGTGTTGTGACTAAAAAAAGGATGGTAACATTACAATCATAAATAATAATATGGATATTAATTTTAATAATATAATTTTTATAAGAAAAACATTTTAATAAAATAATATATGTGTATGTGTGAAATGTATATATATTCAATATAAACCACAAACTACAATAAAATAATACTCACTTTCAGTATTAGTTCCTCGTGTAGGTGATTGAGGTTTTTGTATATTTTTTCGAACATTCAAATCCTTGCTTTTTAAATGTGGTGTAGGTTGAACTACAGCCACATTATTTTCCATTTGAATCTAAAATTTATGTAATATATATATTCGCATACTTGTATAGGTGATTTATATATATATATATATGTCTCTTATTTTTATTTAAATGTATTCATTTAAGTATATATTTACCTCTGTATTGCCTTCTGTAATATCTCCATGAAACCCACTAAATGTAAGTGATTTTCTAGTATCTCGGTTCCTTTCCAATCCTCCTTGCATATCATCAAAATCTGAACTTTGTGTGGTTAATATATTTTTGGTATCATCTTGCACAGTAGTAGTGCCTGTTCCATGTTCAGGTAACGAAATTGGTAATCCGTTTGCACGTGATGCATATGTTAATCGAGATGGTAATGCACTCGTTTTGTTATTTTCTGATGTGGAACGTCTCAAAATTAGTTGAACTTCCGAGGAATATTCACCCCATTTCATCAAAATCTATACAAACACATGATACATGTCAATTTTATTATTCTCTCTCTTCATATATATAATTATATTAATATAATCTCTATATATCAAAGTTTCCATTTAATTAATTGAATTATGAAATATAAGTTCATGATACATGTATATGTGATGTATGAAATATGTCTGACCTTAAGAGGATTTTCATAAGGAGCCAACAAACGTTCATTAGTTCGCCAACGCTCTACCAAAGTGAATCTACCTGTTTGAGCTGTAGCATGAGCAAGCGCATACACCACATCCTACAATTAAAATGTCATCAGTAGCAGCTTTTAGAAATAAGCATAAATGATTTTCAGAAGGAGAATGAAGCAAACATGATTCTTAAATAATAATAAATATGTTGTGAAAATTATACATATGGTTGTAATATTTCAAGTTATTTTATGATAAGACATAGCTGATATAAAACATGTATGTAAACCAATACCCTAATAATGTGATTCATAATACATACTTGACAAGTAGTACTCTCAGTAACACCGCATACAATACGTTGTATTCCCTCCACCCACACTTTCAGCTCCATCACGTTAGCAAAACGGAAGTTGAAGCTTAATTCTTTGCATCGCAAAATCAGCACTCACAGAGAAATATAAAAAGCTGTCTTTATTTCTGTACACTGCTATTCTAACCTCGCATATTTCGATAAAATTTAATGTCGAACGAAGCCAATCAGTTTATTTCGATATACGACCGTTACCATCGAAGGTAGAACGAGTACGACAAATTTAACATCCGCTTTTCGCTAAGAGGATTAAATTTCTCTCTGGCTTGCTTGTAATATGTAATTATTGAAATGACAGATGCGCTACTATGGCGACATAACATACTATTGCATGTGTGTCGTGTGTATATGTACATACTGATAACTGATACATACATCCAAATCAACGCAGTAATAATTGGCAATGTCGAATGTAATGCAAATGCAATACACACACAAAACTATTGTTTGCCTTTTTTAAAAATTTATAAAATATTTTTTTCAATTAAATTATTATTTTCTTTTTATACTTCTCTTGAAATTACATTACTTATACTTGACGAAAATGTAAAAAGCTATAATTGTTTTATTATTTTAATTAAAATAATCATATATAATAATCATTAAAATACTTTAAATAAAGATTATACAGAAAGCTTTTCAGTAAGAAAACATAGATAGACACAATGTCACGCAATTGGCTATAAAATATAGATTTTTAAAAATTCCGAAAATTTTTATATTTGATAAGCAATCATATGGCATTGTGTTTGTGTATTTCTCTGGAAAGATCTCATAGTTAGAATAAAACAATTATGTATTAATTTAGTAATGCAAGATTTTCGTTTTTGATTATTACATCTGGATATATAAAAAAACCACATATTACATTAAAAAAAACATCTAATAAAAAAATTTATAATTTTACCAATAATTTCAATGTATTCTCCTTTTCTTTTTCATAAACACAACTATTAAAAAATTCACTTGCTATATTTTATAGGTTAAAACAAATTTGCAGTTTTCGATATGAAAGAAAATAATACAATATTATTATCCGTTACAGGAAAGTTTTATTTTTATACAGAAAAAAATTTTTATTTCTTGGCTTTCTTGTCTTTAGCAACTTTTGTCACTTCATCAGGATTTTCTGAAGCATCCTTAACACGCTTTGCACGAATGCCAACTAATCGTGCATCTGCTCTTGCCTTACGAAGGGTTACATATGCTGAGAATTTAGTTTCCTCCTCAGTAATAGGACGAGCCTTTGCCTTAGCAGGTGCTTGATGACGTATCGGCATAGGATCTCCCTTGATTTGGACTGCTAGTTTCCTCTCCTCTTCAGTTGCATCACCCTTCTTAGGCTACAATTAAAGAAAAAGAAAATATAAATATATAATTTGTACATATAAAAACACAATTTATATACATATAGCAAATCAAACTATGTAAATATGTATTCTTAAATATTAAAATAATATACTAGTTACTATTAAAAAACTTTTCTATTAACATTAATAAAGTAAATTATCACATAAAATTACATACTTTCTTTTCATTTGTTGGGAAGAGAATCAATTTAGATTTATACTCCTTTAAACGTTGAGCATTTGTTTGTAAAGACTCGATAGATTTATTGCGACGACGGGGGTCAACTGCAATGCCAATTGTTTTGGCAAATCTCCTGTTTAGACCACTAGCTTTCAATTCAGTCAATGTGAAACCTTTACCAGCACGAACTTTAGTATGGTAACGGAATGTCGGGCAATGTACAACAGGTCTCAAAAGATTTACAGGCCTAAAAAATAATTAATGATATTTAATTCTAAAAAATTGTAAAATTTTAATTATATATGTATAATTACAAAGAAGAATCTCACATACAGATCTAGAAATAATTTAATTATAAATGTAGCAAAAAATATGTCATGTATATACATACCTGGGTGCGAGAGCTCGTGCTTTCTTGACACGTTTTTGCTTACGACGAATTTTTCTCGCTGGCTGGTTAAACCAAGTCCTTACATATCGTTGCCAATCCTTGTGGAAATGGCCATTTGGAATCATATTATTTCCCTTACCCATGGTGAATGTTTATAGTATCTGTAATAATATATATAATAAAAATAATTAATATTAAACTCCATACAGAATTGTACAATTTCGTTATGATATAAGAGGTTAGTATTTGCAGTATGTTATAAGAGTTTACAATAATTACGACGTGTATATATAAACAACAAATATTTGTTGAGAATATTTGATATTGATAGATTCATTAAGTTTTTCATGATGACAAAAAATAGAAATAAAATATGTTACAAAATAAGAAACAAATGTTAACAGAAATCGATCTAGATTCTAACCTCTCTAATGTAAACTAAACACAAATTGAAAAAATAATTATGTTCTTATATAAAATTACATATATAAGGCAAAAATGATTAGAAACATAAAAAGTTATGTGTTTTTATTGTTATACACTTCACGTAAAATATAGGATGTTGATACTTTACATTGATCTAAAATTCTATGACACGATTCACTCACCGACTTATCGACGCGAAAACGGAAAAGGAGTTTGGGGAAAGCCGGAAGTGACACTTTTGGAAACTACATTTTCTTTTACATGGAAACGATATTTTTCGACACATTTCTCTGCAATAATAATTAAATTATTAATAATATTCAAGTATATTTAATGTTACAAAACGACAGAATACATGTAATTTATAATAATTTATAAACAGTAGTTTATCTAGAGCTGTATAAGAAAAATGGCAGCGTACATGGTATAATAATATGTACATTTTTGAATATGATATAATAAGTGTATTATTTCGTATCACTTTGTTTATACGGAAAGAATCACATTCTATAATGGTGCAAAATATGTCGCGTTCCCTGAAAATAATGTCTCGATATGAGATACGAAGATTTTGCAGTAATAATCTTCATCGGCGAACGTCTCCTGCAGTGGATATATTATCGGTATAAACCTTTTTATTTATATATTTATTGTTTATTTTGTACAAAGTGTTTAAATAACAAATTTACAAATACACGTCCATAATAATTATGCCATAGTTTTGGCTTTATTTTGTTTGCGTATTCGCAAACCAAGTACAATACACTCATATATAACTGCATTCCATGCGAAATATACTCAAATATTACATATATATATATAAAATAGAAATTAAAATGTATTAGTAAAATGTTGTATATTCATCTTTGAAGATTGTTATATTATTTATCCAACAATTTACTGATTTTTAGCATGCAGAATGCACATTGCCAGTGAAGCAAAAAATAGAAGGTTATTGGAGAAATAAAGTTAATTCTTACAAATGCATTACTAACGATGACATAAAAGAAAAATTTTATGTTCTTTCTATGTTTCCATACCCATCCGGTGCTTTACATATGGGTCATGTTAGAGTTTATACAATAAGTGATGTTTTAGCTCGGTTTTATAGACTCAAAGGTAGGTAGCTTTTGTACAAGAAATATATTTTATTATGTAAAATTTATATCCCATATTAGAGAAAGATAAATTTTTGGAATATATTTTACAAGACATAATTTTTTCAGATGTTAAATTACAAGTATCAACTAAAATAATTAAATTAATAAATCTTATCAGGTAAAAATGTGATTCATCCTATGGGTTGGGATGCCTTTGGATTACCAGCAGAAAATGCTGCTATCGAAAGAAAAATTGATCCTGCTGTATGGACAAGTGAAAATATAAAGACAATGCATAACCAATTGAGAAAGCTGAATTACTCTTTTGATTGGGAGAGAGAATTTGCAACTTGTGATGCTGATTATTATAAATGGACACAGGAGCTGTTTCTGAAATTGTTTGATAAAGGTTTGGCCTATCAAAAGAAAGCTTATGTTAATTGGGATCCTATTGATCAGACTGTATTAGCTGAAGAACAAGTAGACCTGAATCAGCGATCTTGGAGATCTGGTGCAATCGTGGAAAAAAAATTATTAAATCAATGGTTTATTAAAACGACAGCTTTTGCAAAGTAAGTTTAAAAGCCAAACTTTTTATTATATGTGATGTTTTTTAAAATCAATTTGATTTTACTCTTGACTATGTGTTACAGATCATTGAGGGAGGGTTTAGATGACCCAAGCTTGAAAGAATGGAAAGATATCATAAAGTTACAAAAGCACTGGATAGGTGATTGCAACGGCATTAATATCGATTTTAAACTGATATCCGAAATTCCAGACTTTCCAGAGACAATAAATTTATGGACCGATATGCCAGAATTTATAGAGTATGCAAAGTTTGTTGCTATATCTCCTGAAAGTATATTACATCGTGAAGAACATACGTATGATATAGATGTTGGGATAAAAGGTTTAAATGCAAAAATAATAAATCCATTTTCTGGTGAAGAGTTGCCAATTTTTATCACCGATAAAGTGGTTTACCCACCATGGAGAGATACCCGCTTGGGTATACCTTCGGCGTCAATGGACGATTTAAATTTTTCGGAGTTAGTTGGAATACCATTTACGCGGCATTCGATACGTAATTATGAACAGCAACAACAAAAGATATGCGAAATATTCCAGAAAGCTAGAGAATGGAGAATAGGCGGATATTCAGTAAGCTCGAGATTACAAGATTGGTTAATCTCTAGACAAAGATATTGGGGTACACCTATACCTATTATTCATTGTACGAATTGTGGTATTCAACCAGTACCTCGCGATCAACTTCCTGTGACATTACCAAAGATAATACACTCATCGTCGAATAAAGGATTTTCCATTCATGATGCAAAAGATTGGTTGCAGACAGAATGTCCCAAGTGTGGAGGAAAGGCGACTAGGGAAGCCGATACTATGGACACATTTGTAGATAGCAGTTGGTACTTTTTAAGATTTATAGATCCCAAAAATACAAAGGAGATGTTTGCGATAGAAAAAGTTAAGGAAGCTTTTCCCGTGGATCTTTATATAGGTGGAAAAGAACATGGTACAATAGTAATAGTTCTCTTAAACATTAAACTTGAACACATTTATATTCCAACTTAATATCTATAAATTTTATGTTTCAGCTGTGCTTCACTTATATTATGCCAGGTTTATGAGCCACTTCTTACATTCGGAAGGTCTTATACCATGCCGAGAACCATTTAAACAGCTTCTTGTGCAAGGGGTAGTAATGGGTAAAACATATAAAACTAAAAATACTGGCAAATATGTGGCAGGAGATGAGATAATTAAGGAAGAAGACCAATATAAAACAAAGTCTGGAGAACTTGTCTTTATGAACTGGGAAAAGATGTCAAAATCAAAACACAATGGAGTTGAACCTTTTAGCTTATTATACAAATATGGAATAGATACAACTAGATTATTAATATTGGCTGATGTTGCACCAACATCTACTAGGAATTGGTCGGAAGATAGTAAATATCTTAAAAATCAACTACCTATATCAGCAATTTTATGGGATAATATATGACAATTAATATATT